ATACTTCTATCAACGTTTATTACAAAGGAATCAATACATTTAACATTCTCACTTATAATGATAGGGTCGAGTAGACTATTTCTAGTGGTTCCAAACCGTGTGGGTTCTGTTATGACATTTGTCAGGTCATATTCCATCATAATCTGGTGCAATACATGTTGATCTGGTAGTAATAGCATATCTACATTTATATCTCCTACTATTATCACATGCGGTGTAAATTCGAGTGCTTTCTCTATAGAATATTTTAAATTGTTCCAAAATGGACGGATAGCACCTTCCGTTCTATATAATGTACATAAAAGTAATTTTCGTCCCGGTAAATCTACCTGTATCCATATACTCTCAATATTTCCAAATTCTAGATCTTCTCTACGATTACATTTTAAACAATCTGATGCATAAACTAAAATACCACCTCCATATGAATTTCTGTCTTTTCTAAAGGGTTCGGTATAACCAGATAGTGCTATATCATCAGTCGAAACTGTCATGTCTAGGTGAGATTCAGTTATACATATAAGGTTAAATTCATTAGCAATATCTTCTACATACCCAATCTTATTCCTAAAACTTCGTGAATTTAGATGAAATATTGACAGTTCATTCTCATTTGGGCCTGGGTTTGTCTCTATATCCATAAATATAATGAGGAGTAAAATTAAGATAAGAGCAAAATTTATATTTTTGAATTGCGATTGGAGTAAAAATAGAAAAGGTATTGCAAAGCATGCCTTACTGCTTGCTAACAGTAATTCCATGAATAAGTTATATTCATCATTGATAAAAGTCTTATTAAACTTATAATGTACACATATATTATGCCTCTTGAGGGAACAACATCTGTATGCTTTAGTGTAGAAGATACCGATCATGACCCTATGGCAAACCGCCGATACATCGCCTGCTAGCCATTGTCATACATGTAGTCTACCATAGGGCCCCCATCAGTATCCTCCATTGTAGAATAAGTACAGATTTCAAACAATATATATATTGATAACAACTGTATCAATAGTAGTGGCAGTTCGACAGAAAAGAACAAGATAATTAAAAGAGTATCCCAGCATCCATACATGTTTGACTGCTGGTATATAAAAGTTGGATTTGATAAAAAAGATAATTA